AGTTAATAGGTCAAACGCCAACTTTTGGCTTATTCCCCCCTAGCAGCATCCCTTTCATTTAACTGTTGTCAAATGCAGGTTCAGCACTGATCTGGAATTACAGTGTTTCCTCAACATGCAGGTTGCCTATCTTTCCTGGCATTTGTTGCATTTTATTTCCCAATCCTATTGCCCCTTCCAGTATTCAAAGCCATTCTGCACTTTACTGAGACTGGCACCGAGTCAGAGCATATCCAACCCTCCCTGCAGCCCCGTTGCACTCATGTTATTTTTATAAACCTGTATCTTGTCACTAGCCCAGGAAGAAATGGAGCTTTATTCTACTGGGATTCAGGTCAACTCATATGTGGTTCCTGCCTTAAAGATGAAAAGCCAGGGAGGTTGTTTTACCCGTTGCTTGATGAGGTGCCCATGGGTTGTCTGCACATGCAGGTGGAACCAGTTGTGCTGGTTCCTCCATCTCTCTACTCTAAGCTTTCCAAAAAAACCTTCTTCCTGGCAAACTGCGACGTGCAGAAGACATCAGGATCCAATATAGAGAGGTTAACAAAGGTGGTTGAGAGATATTTCTACTACATGTGGAGTGAGTGGGTCACTATTGCCTTCTCTCTCAGGTCTTGACCTGGACTAACCCATCCCCTAAGACCCAGAGACGTTGTTTTCTCCCAGGCACGGTGCTGTTGTGGCCAAAGACACATCTAAGAGGCTTGTTGAGACTCTGAAGTCTGGGCAGAAAATACGCAATGTGTTGGGATTTAAAAGAAATGGAGGATTCTGAAACACCACCATTGAAAAAACTCATAGCGGCTCCTAAAGTTACATAGCAGAAACATTTCAAAGACCGAACTTAAATGGAAAATTATATTTCCCTTCTTTGGCTATTAAATATGTATGACTATTCAACTGTGCTGCTTATCAGCTCAAGAATTCTCAAATTTCATTGCGTTTAGATACATTTGTTATTATTATTTCTTATTAGCAACAAATGAAAATTTATCTATGCAATCACTGGAGTTAAAGAGACAAAAGGCCTCTTAGGTCAGCAAGTTCATCTTCCTGCCATTGCGGTTATTTCCTCTTGCATATTTATTTATGCTTCTCAAATCTAATTTTGTATTCCATAAATAGCAAAATAATTCCATCATTTCCATTGTGGAGAGTATTACCGAATTTAGTGTCTCTTGCTCTGAAAGATGATCAGAGATATCGCAATATATGGAAACAAGGTAACCTCATCTTCTTTTTAGCCTCTTTTATATACATCCATCATTGTGAACTAACAGGGAGAGCTGGAAGATGCAATGTTTTTTGTCAGTCTCCGGGAACTCTGAAGGATATTAATGGCTTTTTGCTCAGTTGAGTAGTGCTACACAACCTGCTGGCACAAGGGCTCAGTGTTGTAGCTGTGTTGTACCACGGAGAGGTTGTAGTAAGGGGGCAGCAGAAGAGCTGGGCTGTGGAAGACCCAGCCTGGACATGGTACCCCACAGCTCTGCCCCGTGGGGGGCTGTAGGACTGGTTGGGAGCCCTCTTTTTGGAAAGGGCCAAGATGCTAAAAAATCAAAGTGGTTTTTCAGGAAAGGATGACTTTTTTTCCCATCTCCTGTTTTGACCATTTCAAAATGAAAGTTTGGGGGTGGTGGTTGTTTCACATCCAAAAGTTGTTTTGAAGAATAAGGCGGTCCTGGGAAATACGTAAATAAACAAGGTCAAAACTGAAGCAGTACTCTTTGAAATTAGGAAAAAGAAAGATCATAACCAACTTAGTTTTTCTCTCTTGCTATTTCAAGGCTGTCCGACCTGAAAGTACCCAATGTATGCTAGGCTTCTTTTACAGAAAAAACCCCTGTTCTTTCTGCTTTTTTTTTGGATGCCCTGAGAGAGGCCCTACCTCTGTAAATCCACAGGCATGAAATGATTTTCCTAATTTCATATTTCTCCAAAACAAAAGGACCATCATTGTCATTGTAAAGCAATTTGCACCCACCTCTAAGCTGGAAGAAAGAATTACTCTCCCTTATTGCAGTTTTTTAAGGTGATGGAGCCGGAATGGATGTTTGTGCTTACAATTGGGATCTTTTGCGTAGTGTCTCATGAAGCTACACAAGTACCTGCTGTCTTCATCTGCTCCTCTATACATGAAAGGAAAAACAGCCTCCACCCTCCCCCTCCGCCTTTGCAATTCAAAGCCGTTGCTAAAAACACGCTTCAAAATGAGGCACAAAGTTTCCATATAGGCAGATGTTATCATCTGGAAATTCTACAGTTACTATATAGCGTCTCAGATCCTTCTTCAGATGTTTGCATAGATCCCAGCGCAGTCAGGTAACGGATACTCTGAATAATAAGAAAGAGGAGTATCAGCTACCTGGCGAACTGAATTATCAGTCTCTCGATTTTGAGAGATTAACGGATAGCTTTTAACAAAAGACTGGAGATCATTGCATATTACTGCTTTACAGATCTCAAACAAAGGCATGTTTCTGAAGCGAGATATGTGTGCGGCTTGCAACCTAGCGAAACACTAATGTCTGCAGTGAGAGATAGGAGAGATTTTTGGCTAACTGATAGCAAGCAGAGATGCAGAATGCTTATTCTCAACCTCAGTGTTGAAATGAGTTGGTTTTTGTTAAGGCAAGTGCACAGAGTTGGAGATAATCTGCAAAGCTGACTCTGATCAGTTAAATGGTGCATGTCTGAAACAAGCAGACCGCTGCACCTTTGCTCTTACTGGAACATTCCTGTGGAGGGTGCTGCGGGGAAAGTTTGCCACCGAGGTCCTGCACGTTTGGTGACTTTCCGTTTGAGCTGATAGCTGCCAAGAGAACCAAGCAAAGATGCAGGTGATGCAGTGAACAACCCAGTGGTGCCTAGGAATTTAGGATTAAAATGTCACGAAGGTCTGAAGGAATCTGGTCACTGTTAAAAATGCGATGACCACTGGTATTGCCAATACAGTGGCAAGGTGCACTTGGAGCCAAGGGTCAATCAGTCTGTTTAAAATGCATCATCACAGACAAGGATCTTTGGCATCAGAGCCAACGAATTATGCTATTGTTCCTAATTTGAGCATTTTCCATTTGAAGGCCTAGCTGTGCCTCGTAGGTGGGTGTCCACTGTGTAGAAGGATCCCTGTCCCTTGCTGTAACACTGCTGGTGATATTTGAGTTGCCAGTCGCAGTGGCTGTGGACACGGACCTGGTATCTGACACATCCCATGAGGTCATTTCCAGGCAGGTTGGAAAAATGGTTGGAGCAGACATCTGCAAGTGATCTGTCTGTGCTAGCAGAAAAGCATTACAAACAGCCGCACTTGCTATCTGTCTGCATTCGTGAGCAGGAAAAAGGGGGAGGAAATACAAGTAGCCCATAGGTTATCACTGTGTGAAATTCTTTGATAAAGAGCTTGAGCCCTTTTTTCCTTGAGTGCTGAGAGAGCTCAGGCGAGGGTCTCCCAGCAGGAAAGCATCATCTTTCCATAGGGTTTTACAGAAATCCTCTGCAGCTGCTGCCTGCAAGAAGGAGTGGAAGGGGAGTGGAGCATCTCCCTGCTAAGGAGATACTGAAGGAGCTGGGTCTTTTTAGTCTGGAGAAGAGGAGACTGAGGGGTGCCATCATTCATGGGTATCAATTTGGAAAGGGCGAGTGTCAGGAGGAAGGAGCCAGGCTCTGCTCTGGGATGTCCAATGCCAGGACAAGGGGCAATGGGAGCAAGCTGGAGCACAGAAGGTTCAACCTGAACATGAGGAGAAACTTCTTTCCTGTGAGGGTGCCAGAGCATGGCCCAGGCTGCCCAGAGAGGTTGTGGAGTCTCCTTCTCTGCAGACATTCAAAACCCCTGGCCGTGTTCCTGTGTGACCTCCTGTGGGTGATCCTGCTCTGGCAGGGGTTGCACTGGGTGATCTCCAGAGGGCCCTGCCAACTCCTCATATTCTGTGATTCTGTGTGATTCTGTGAAGGGTGCTGGGCGCTGATATGACCGCAATGCAGAGCCCATGGGGTGACCCCCAGCAATAACCTCAGGTTTGCTGTCAGCAGAGACGGAAGGCCTGAGCTCTCCTTGCTTGGCCCTGGACTCTTTATGGTGGGGATTTGGCCTGTTAGGATTTGGCTTGTTGGGATTCGCACTTCAGAATATTCCGGAAGATGAAGAGCCTTGGCTATCTCAGGAGAGTGAATACTAATTTTAAGCTTTCAATACAGGTAATTTTCTAAGTTTCAATGCAGTTTGCTACTTTTTTTGGAAAAGAAGGAGACTATTAGTTTTAAATTATTTGGGTTATATTTAGTTCAATGGGTAGTGGCAGGCAAGGCTTTGCACAGCTGAATGAATGTAATTATTCTGCTGTTACCAGAATAAAGTTGAAATAACAGTCATGTTACAGACAGTTTCAGGAATACAGAAATGCAATAAAACCATAAACTTTTAGAGGAAATTACTTTTCCAGGCAAGGTGATATACATTCAATAAAACACATCAAACTGGATTACAGTAATTTGGATTACAGGAAACACTGTGGAAAACAGCAGTCGTTACTCCCTTTCTTTTGTGAATCAAATCGCGCAACATTTTTAGCCATTTAAAAGCTGGTAACAGAACAGATAAAATATTTCAACTTTTAATTAAAACACTGATGAAAAGGAAGCATAAGTAAACTATATTATCAGTAGTTGTGGAACTAATATAGCCATGTAATAGGAAAGGAGAGGAAAGGAAAGGAGAGGAGAGGAGAGGAGAGGAGAGGAGAGGAGAGGAGAGGAGAGGAAAGGGAAGGGAAGGGAAGGGAAGGGAAGGGAAGGGAAAGGGGTAAGTATAAAAATGTAGCAAAGTGTGTGCAGCTGAGGAGAGGAGAGGAGAGGGAAAGGGAAAGGGGGGAAAGGGAAAGGGATATCCATGTACTAAGTTCAATGACTTACCATTTTATTAAATGGCATGCAGCTAGCTAGTACCTTAATTCAGGAAATTTCAAATATTTAGTAATTTAGTATATTTTACCCACCTGATTGCTCTGATGACAGTTTTAAGAGCAGGGGTGAGATCTTCTACTGACACATCACACTGGCACCCTTTATCATCGTAAACATCGTCTGTTCCAAGACTGGTGTCAGCTGCAAAACACAAGAGCAGAATAAACAAGCAGCATTTAAAGATCTCTTTCTAACCCCCTGCACAGTGGTTCTGGAGAAATAAGGACTACAAATCAAATAAGACAGAGCTTCATCCATTTACAAACTGCATGATGCGCTTGTCTGCGTCTGTGCTTGTGTCATAAAAGGCCCGGGCAGTCCCCTGTGTAAACAGCACAAGTTATAAAGGAAGCAAGCCCGGTTATTTTTCAAACAAATTAATAGTTTGGCATCAGTTTGTCTATTCCTGATGTCTCACTTTTTCATCGCATTCTTTGTCATAAGGGAAAGCGGCGAGCTAACAGATGTAAGGCCAGAATGAAAAGAAGCTGGAGTTATATTAAATGGGTATGTTTTTACCACTATGGATCAACCTGACATGGAAGACAAAGGAGAAGATCCATTTCATTTACTAAGGAGGCTGTGGAATGATCCAACACTTTACTACAGGTGAAAATAAATGAAGTCCCTTTTTGCCAGAAAGGAATAGAGAATAACATCCATCATGGACCAATTGCCACCTTAAACCTGAGAGCCATGTAGATATTGCAGCCTGCCTTTGCAATAAGAGCTTAGGCCAAGTTTCTGTATTTATATGCCTGAAAAATATGGATCCTCTGCCTCGTCTTAACACCGCCTCTGCAGTTACCATTTGAGAATTAACGAGAAATCTCCGCAGTGCCCAGTGTACCTCGGTACGCAGAGAACACAGGGCCCTATGCCTGACCAAGAAGTTTTACAAACTTAAAAAGTGCTGGAAGGGAGCAAGGAGGGCAGGGTCAGTGGATGATCTTATGCTGTGTGTGTCTCAAAGGTATGTGAAGTACAGGAAAACTCCTGAGGGCAGGTGTTTTTTCCTCTCAAACCATCTCTCTTCACCTGGTGACGAATTTCACCCAAGGGCAGTGTATTTTAATGTGTCTGTGTCTCTGCATATGTCAGTGGCATATGAAATGGAGAAAAAAGGATGGGATCCAGTAATTGTCCATAATGGAGGAGATTTCTCCCCAGTCCCGTGCCCCTACCTACATTCCTG